AGGAGATGTGCTAGAGACTTCAAATTTTCAGGGTATCTTAAGGTTCACTCCTAGAAAACGAAACGCCTACGGCATATCCTGGCAACCAACCTTAAGGGGCTGAAAGGGGGTATCAAAGAAAAGGGGGTAGGTAAGAACAGTCAGAAAAAAATATTTTGTTTATGAGCTCCTAAGGGGTAACTAATTAAAGTAGACCCCTAAGATCGAAAATTTCGTCCGTTTTGCTCTATCTCTCACCGTTTAGGCGCTCGAGGGAGTTTCTATCACGAAAGTGGCCCAAAAATAAACGAATTAATTTTAGAAAATATTAGATGGTCTCCCAAGGGGTAACTTGCGAAAGTAGAGCCCTCGGGGCGAAAATTTCGTCCGTTTTGCTTTGTCTCTAACCGTTTAGGCGCTAGAGGGTCTTGTTTGACGAAAATAAGTTAAAAGTTGCTGTAGTGAACAATTAAATGTAAAAGAAGGCCCAGAACCGCAAAAGAGGTAAGAAACTCCCTCCCCCAGCCCAAAAAACGTTTTTTAAGCAGAAGGGTAGGGTGTAGTCGCGGTGTTTCACCGTTACATCCCTTTCTCGTGTCTACGGAGCAAATTTTAAGGACGACGGGCTTTGCGGGCCGAAGGCCCGTTACATTATTTGATTATGTTCTACAGCAAATCGCGTGACGGAAATGGTCGGGCCGGAGGCTCGACCATCGCCGCCGGCAGGCCAAGCAGGCCCGGCCCCTGCCGAACGGAGTTGCCGGCGCAGCGAAGCGAAGCTGGCAACTTCGTTTGGCGGAAGGGCGGGCCTGCTTGTTAGGACACAAAACAACCCTGAAAATCCCAGGTCGCTATCTCAATTCGTTCTCGAGTTATCGTGCGTGTAGACAGACACACACACATACACACAGACAGACGCGAAACTTGTTGATCATCACTGGAGTAATAGGCTTCGTTATCGCTCAGCCAAAGATGATTTTGGGTTATTTTCGTGTAGAAATCGCCCTCTGGCGACTTAACGGCTAGAGATAGCGCCAAACGGGCACAATTTTGCTCTGACGCGTTCTACTTTGTCGAGTTACGTCTTAGAAAAATATAAAAGTAGTATTTTTAAAAGTAACATTTTGGATTTATCTTTTTAGATTTTTTTGACAGGTCAATTTTTCAGCCAGATCGCTCAAAATCAATACAGTTCTTGCTTTCAATGCTTCAAAGCTACTCCTTATCAGGTACATAGCTCAAACCGTTCTCGAGTTATCGTGGTGACCGACAAACAGACAGACACAGACAGACATGAAACTTCTTGACCATCACTGAAGTAATAGAC